AAAAAAGTGGTGGGAAATTTGGGAAAAACTTTCACCCTATGTATGCTACACCTCAATATGTCTATGATAAATTCCAGAAAGCAATATAGACATCCTACTTTGGTTACCTTTTTATCAAAAAGGGGTTCTCGTTGAATATATCTAGCCAGTCATTGCAGATTTAAGCTACTTTAATACCTACAACGTGATGAGATTAAACAGGTGAAGCTGAGGCACATGAAGTTACTCAGGGTCACATAGCTGGTAAGTGGAAGCGCCAGGATTTGAACTGAGGCACTCTGGCCCAGAGACATCAGTTTAAATCACAATGTTAAGTAAAGACACCCAGTAAAAGGTAAATACTCCTTTGGTTAATAGTAGGCTTACTGTAGTCATTTTTGACAGATGTGAGGATTCAGGATGAAAGTATAAATAACTCTTTTGGAAAGTCTTCCCTCCCATGCATTGTAACTTCTCCAAAACAGTCACACAGGCTTGCTTTTCTAATTTTATTTAACCAACTCTTATATAATGTTTCCTATGTGCCAGCTACTGGCCTGAGTAATCTCAAATATTTCCTGAACCCCATGAGGTAAGTCTTATTATTATATCCCCATTTTCCTGATAAGGAAGCTGGAGTATTTACTGGCTAAGCCATCAAGTCACTTAATCACTTTAAACTTACATTTTCCATTTGTAAAACTGGGATACTAAAAGCTCATTCAGACACTGATTTGTAATTATGGACTAAACTGTTGATGTCTAATATATTAGGCATTTGCAGGAAATGCTTATAAATGGTGAAACAGTATCACTGTGTTGCCAGTGGAGATAAGAAATGGAGGTAGATACAAGAAAATGTATCTAAAATCAAAATTTCAGCAAATGATGTGTATTATGATAATTGATATGTAAGTAACATATCTATATTTATTAATGCATATATAAAACATTATAATAATATCTAAATATATACAATAAGTAACATACAAGAACTAATTATTTTCACTTCCTTGATCCATTCGAACACTAAAATTTCATCATGTGAAAATACTAATAGAAAGATACAATCACAATACTAACAGCAAAAGGCTCAGCTTTGATCACATTCAAAAGGTTTTAGAAAATATAATTGGAGAAAGTTGATCCTATATATATGTTTTCCCAGGATGGCTTCTACTCATAGGATTTTTAAATTCACAGAAAATTCATTATTTAGAAGCTACAACTGTTAGCTTTTATTAGTTGCTCTCATATTGTAGGTGACCTTGAAAGAAAATCTTGGAAGGAGCACTGTCATTTCTCGGTGGGCAATATTTACACTCTCATAACTATAGACACTGTTTTCCTGTCTAATGGGCACTGATGACCTAAACTGTCCCGACACATAAACATATTTCAACAATTGGCAAACCAGTCCATAGCTCAGTTGTTAAATTTTGTGATCGTATTAGCCATGAACAAAGTTGCTAGCAAAGAGTTTTAGTAAGTTTTTACAAGGAAGTGTGATGAGCAAATTTAATATTGTTCAAAGTTTCTTTCAAAGAAAATAATCCCTTCATGCTTTTAATATTTAAAATATGAAAACACAAAGTGTTGTTCGTCTTTAGATCCATACATATTTGGGGATGCAAAAATGGCTTAATGGCACACCACACTGGTACAGTTCCTGGGCACCTCTTACCTGCATTGGGGTAACAGGCCCCAGGGGCTTTCCATAACTCCAGTCTCTTACTGCTGCTATCCTGTGTTTCCTACAACACTGCCTTCATAATACTTTTGTCCTTGAGTAGAAACTACCAACAATTTTTTATAATCTGTCCTATCATGATCTAGTTCTTTAATTGGTTTTGAAAGTTTTGGTCAAATCTCCCATTTCAAAATACCCAATCTGATATTTGAACACTCTGGAGCATGCCTTTTCTTTCCTTTCTGTTTATCCAAATCAAAACCCTCCTTCAAGCCGTGACTGCCGTCCTACCTTGTTTAAGTAGACCCAAACCGGAGCACAGGTCATCCTTTCAACTAAGAGTTTCTGCTGAGTTCATGGTCAGTACATCTGACTTGGGCACTTCTCTTGGTCTCCAGTTGCTCCATGGTTCTCTCTAATTGTTTCATAACTATTTTTTACGTTTTAACTGTCCAGAAGGACAGTGGCTACGTCTTAACAATCACGAGCCTTTTCAAACACTTGGACCATGGTAAGCATTCAAAGTATAAACACTGAGGAATGGCATTAGTCACATGAGAGCTCAAAACAAGAACTGAAGAGGCTCTTTGTTTCTCATAGGAATTAGTAGACAAAAGATAGATCCTGATTCCTCCAACTTTATTAAATTTCTATTGCAACTTTATAGTGTATCAGACTTTGGCTTTTGGAATCTAGCCAGAGATTCCCAAGCCTTGAGAAACAGGAACAACAAATTTAATCTCCAAATCTTCTTTCTCTGAGACCATGCTGGTTTTAAAAGAAAATGGGCTTAATATAGACTTAATGATAGAATCAACATCATTAACTATACCTATTCTGTCCAATACAGCAGCTGCTAGGTGAATGTGGCTACTTAAATGTAAAGTAATTAAAATAAAATAAAATAAAAAACTGGTCCCTCAGTCCCACTAGCTGCATTTAATAGCCAGTTGACTGCTGTTGGACAGCACAGATTATAGAAGAGCTCCATCATCACACCACATTCCACTGGGAAGTGCTGAACCTTACCCATAGCCTCACCAACAAAGACATTTGCTGGAGTCGCTTTTTGCTTGCAGCATTAAAGACTAGGACCAGTGCTGTGAGGAGGCACTGTAGATATGCAGCTCCAGAATGCAGCTTCAGGGGTATTGGGAAGCCGTGCCACCCTGTGAAAATCCTGAACAGGCTCACCTTCAAGAACTAGAATGGCAAATTAGAGCTTCATTTCTTTAGCTTAGGCCAAATAGGGGATTTGTCTCCTCTCTACCCTGCAAAGTGTTGAACATTCCAAGGGAACCATCATGTTGAGGCACAATTATCAATGTCCAGTTTTTGACAGTGGGTTGTGGGTGGAGAGTACAAGGACATTTTATAAACAGAAAGAAGCTCCTGATAGGGACAGAGGAAGGCAGAGTGAGAGCAGACCTGAAAGTGGACTGCTTCGTGTCTGTGACTGAGTCCAGTCCCAAACGTGCCATTTGAAGATGGCATGACTGCCAAGGGCAGCAAATCTGGAAAAATTCTCTGAGCCACAGTTATTGACATTGCATAAGCAATTCTTTAAGAGTGAGGTCTCTTAAAGGTGTATTGAGATGGATGTAGAAATGCTAAGGAGGGTAAAATGTTACTAGAAAGGAAATGTCAAAATGTTACTAGAAAGTTACTAGTAACTTTTATAAAGGAAAAAGGCTTGAACTACATAATCGAATATCTCTTTATCCTTCCTATGGCCCCACTCTCATTCCCACCATGGAGAATAAGCCTAGAGAACAAAACTGGCATTTTCCACATATACTGACCGCCCCCTTCTTCTCCTTTCCAGGGAACAGGGGTCCCTACGGGGCATGACCTAAATGCCTTCCTTGGCTCATGAATTGGGTCTGAAGACATAGTCCCAAAGAGGAGTAGGCAGGCAATATTTCAAGGTGACTACATTGAAGTACATTTTTCAGCTTTACACATTTAGCATGTTTGTTGCAAAAATCCATTTTCTATTTATGGAGTCATACTTAATACTCATAAGCTGAATCTATACAAGCAGAATATAATCTAAAAACCTGAGTGACAGTGCCGCCAATGAGTTCTCCTCTCTTGGCTGCCCAGATGGCTGCCAGATTTTAGGAAAATTCTATACGCCATTGTGTATTAGGCAGTAGGCTCTGGGTTTCATTCTCTAAAGAAACTACTTTGGAGTTGCTTTTGAGTCTACTGTTATTCTACCCTTATGTTCATGATTAACAGAAAATTCCTCCTGTAAAATCACTCAAGTTAGAGATGTTTTCCCCCAATGATTTAGATAAGTAATAATATAAAATGTGTTTTTTATCAGAGACAGCATAATATGGGCAAGTTCATCAATTTGCTCATTGTGAAAATGACAGTCCTGTTCAGTGACTTATGAAAATGACAAGAGAGTTAGTTGGACTGTTAAGTGCTTAAACAATGAAAACCAAAAAGTGCTAATTAAAAGTCACTGTTAACCTGAGAGGAGGGTTTTATGACATGGTCTAAAGCTCTTCCTTTGGTCATATACTACTGATTTACTTTTTCCACTACTGTGGTATAGACAGAGAAATTGTTAAGTTTTTAGATGACATAAAAATCAAAAGGAAAGATTTTATAATAACCCAGTGTTCCTCAAGTATGGGATGCTTGTAAAAAATACAGGCCCCTGTACTCCCTGGGTAGAGCCTGAGAATTTGATTTTTTGCTAGTTTGCTGGTTGATACACATTCCTATTAAATTTAAAAAATTAGTGGGAATTCACAGTGCTGTCATTATAAATTGTTAGAAAACAGGTCCAGTAGACTGAAACACTTTAATGGAGATAAATTTTGATCACCAGAATTATACCTCCAAAATAAAAATGAAATTTTTTTTCTTACTTTCCTAAGGTATACATTTGTAGAACTTGAGGGCAGAAAACAGAAGGAAAATTGAGGTTAACAGCAGCTCCTGTTCAGAAGATGTGGGAATTTCCCTTTTGGGGAGGAATCCTACACTGGATGAGAGGTCGCATCTTTCAAGATTGCTTTTTCTCTGAAAGCTGGTAAGCCAGTTTGACTCTATGACAGCACATTCGGTGTTAAACAGTATTTAGTAATTTGGATTATATAGTTACCGCACAAGTAATTAATTGATTTCTCTTTGACATAAATATAAAATAGAAAATTGCTTTAAAAATCTGTATGATTTATAAAGAACCATGTCTATAGAGAGAAACAGTTTCAAAATGCTATTCTCACAAGGCCATGCCCTCACAACAACTTTGTCCTTTTCCTTATGGTATCCCTCAGCCCCCATCACAAACAGGTCAGCAGATTCTTACCACGGAAATGGAGTTAGAAAGCAGTGCTCCATCCTGGCCCAGCATATTGGAGACAGTGATTTCAGGGAGGTCCATGTTTTGTGGATGAAATGGTAGCAGGCCATTATGGTTCATGGGGTGACAGAGAGAATGGTAACCAGACTCAACTTCATTCAGGTGCACCAGCGAGTGGTCTGGGAGGGAAGGAGGAGTAATTGGGGGAATGTTGAAGTCTTCACTTTCCAGGCTTGGACCCGGGTAGGACTGTGAAAAGACAAGGGTGACATTGTTGCAAATTATCATCTTCTTGCTCTTCATCATCATATCAAACACATTTGACCCTTTAGATATTATTACAAGCAGCACATGGGTTTGGAAAAGACGTTTCAAACTTTCAGATTATCCTGCTGCCATTTCATCATTACGCATGAAAGAAAATTGCCTCAAAGGCAGATCCACTTCTAGTATAAAGACTACTTCCATTAGGTGGTTTTATTTTTCCAAAAAGCTGAACTCAAACAGATTTCAAAGGTCCCATTAAAATTTTCCAGAGTTTTAATCTAGCTGAATACCTTTTTCATGGGAATTGTAGGGAAAGGAAGGCAATTTATAAAATTAATGTTTGATCAAACATGTTTCACAGAGCTCCCTACTGCTCAGATCATGGGATGTAATAAAAATGAATTCCAGAAGTTCTGGGCAATTGCTTTTGGGTTTTGAAAGCCTACCTGCTCACAATTGACAAAAGAAAATGTCTTAGAAAAGAAGCAACTTAAGTATGTTGCATAAAAGTGCAGTTCCAACGAAAGTTTATGAAAAAAAGTCATTAAAAGATATTTTTATTATAAAGATTTTGTCAACAAAATCAAAGTGAAGATTGCTTTTATGATTTCTAATGAGATTTACTTGATTTCCCCCTAAGAGCTGATAAATAATATTGCAATCATTGAAATTCAGTTCAGTCCATTTTGAAAGGCAAAGCAGTACTAATAGTATTATAATACTAATTCTGGAATAAAAGTCAATCTGTAAAATGAATAGCATTAACATATGTGGGTTTTTTTTTTCTTTTACAAACTAGCATTATATAAAATAGAAAGGGAGGGAGGGGAGCAGGAAGGAAGGATTATATGAGGACACGCTTGTTTAAAATGGAATGTGGTAAATGTTGAAAAATATATGGAAGAAATAAAAAATAAAACATTGTTACCAATTAATATTAAAAACACAGTGACATACAGCAGTCCTTCATAGAACAGGTGTCACAGTATGAAAGGAAACATTTCAGTCCAGATAATTCTTGCAAGCTTATCTTTAAGAGAGCCTTCCTTCATAGTGCTTGGGTGTATGGGTAACAAGGATTCCCTTGTCTAACAGCTCAGCGCCTGCTCCAGTGTGCAGGATTGGAAATGAGCAGGCAAGGGTAGGAGCCAAAGAAAGTAGTGTAAGGTATTCATTGGGTGTCCAGCCAATAAGCGTCATGCTCCTGTGTCCAAGTGCCTGGGGTTATTTTTTCCAGATGGAGTCTATTTGTCTAACAGAAAGAAAAATTTCAAGTTCCACTTTCTAAATGTTGTACAAGGTTTGATATATTTGTTTAGGTGCCATCAGAAGACTAGATTAAATGAAGAGCTACTTGGAGCATCTGGAATTTCGACCTGGTCACAGAGCAGCACATGTAGGTTAGAGACAGGGGATGTATGAACGAAAATTGGACTCTTCCATGCAGATACTTTTCTTAAATTTCTAAAGTTCTGCTAAAAAAAAAAAATCACCAGCTTTAAAAGTTCAATCACTTGTTATCAAATTCTTCTGTTAACAATATGTATTTCATGTGAAAAAATATGTGTATGCTGTGTCAAGATTACAAGTTTGATGAAATTCTCACTTGCCTGATACATATTAGACCCTTACAGACCTAAATCCACAGTTCCTTGTACAAGTATGCATACAGGCATAAAAAATGCCTAATGGGGAGGTGGGAGAGATGTCTATTTCATATTAAAGCACTGTACCAAGGCCTTTGACTATGTTGTCTCCATTTAATCATTACATTACTCCATTGTGTAGCTATTATTAACCCCAGTTTCCTGAAGAGAAAACTGAGGCTCAGAATTTAAATAACTTGCCCAAGTTCACTCAGCTTGGAAAATATCAACTCAATACACATGAGGGATATATATATCATGAAAGAAGGCATAAAAGTAGTTTAATTGCTACTATCTTATTAGGTTGCATGATACAAAATTGCCAATATCCAACTGTTTTTGATAAAATTTCATAATTTAAGTAATAGTATTAGTATTAATATCAGGCCTTTCCTTTCCCAAATTCCACCCCATTGCCCACCCACTGAAATGAAATATTTACTCTATATGAGCACAAGATTTCATAATTTGTCTCTTTGTCAACATTGCAAATGCTGAATTGTTGATATCTGTCTTTTAAGAAGTTAATTAGTGCCTGTTTGAAACTTTCCTAGTCGGGTGCCGTAGCTCACGCCTGTAATACCAGCACTTTGGGAGGCTGGGGTGGGCAGATCACTTGAGGTCAGGAGTTTGAGACCAGCCTGGCAAACATGGGGAAACCCCATCTCTACTAAAAATACAAAAATTAGCCAGGTGTGGTGGTGCATGCCTGCAGTCCCAGCTATTCAGGAGACTGAAGCAGGAGAATGGCTTGAACTTAGGAGGCAGGAGTTGCAGTGAGCTGCGAGCACACCAGCCTCCAGTTGCACTCCAGCCTTGGCAACAGAGCAAGACTCTGTCTAAAAAAAAAAAAAAAAAAAAAAAAAAAGAAAAAGAAAAGAAACTCTCCTGAACAAGGCACAAGGCACAAGTAATGCCAGCGATAAAGGAGAAAGATGTTTTTAATTTTAGAAATACCGTTAAATCTCTGAAAATACTAAAATACTAAGAGATATTCCACCTATAGTATACCATCACTTTACATTCTAGGGTTTCTTCAGTAGTTAAATCTTAATTTGTGTTACTTAAAAGAAGGTTTAATTGGTATCACTTTACATTCAGTGATAACAATTGTATTGCAATTTAGTTAAGCTACAAGGTTTATTTTCATGTAATTAAACATTAATGTTATTTAATTCATGCAATTATACACCAAAACCACAGATTCCACAACTTAACTGGTAATAGCTAGTTATGTGGATCAAGAATTTTAACTACCAATGTTACTTAGTAGTTTCTGTTCTTTATATTAGAAGTCATGATATGGTTATTTGCCATGAGCCTATTACAATGTAACTGATACCATATAAAAGTATAGTGGTAATTGTATAAATGCCAAAATGTCCCAGAACTTACAACAAGTTCAATGCCAGGCTAATTACTAATTATTTTTTAATGTGGAAATGAATTTGCTAATTCTTCAACATTGGTTTCTATGGCATGACAGCTTTATTTTGATTTTTAAAAACTTACTAAACATACATTTAACTTAACAATAGTTTATAATTTAGAAAATAGGCAGTTTTGGGGATGTGATACAATATGATTCAATATTTTTCCTATTCCCCATTAAGCTGCCTCGCTGGAATAAGTGTTCAATGTTTGTTGAATGAATAAACGAATGAATCACTGATTGAATGCATGCGTGCATAAATAAATGAATGCTAAAATGACTCTTTAAGGCATGAAGTTTGTGAATGTACACGGTTATTCCTGGGTTTGAGTAAATATCTTTTATTGTCAAGACGTTGCACTGGCCAGTTACCTACATGGTATATAACAGTCTCACAGAGTATCAGGAGGCCAAAAATACCCTGTTAGGGGAGCAGAGGCCTGAGCAGCATCAGGAAGGCTGGGCAGATAGACTTTGGATGTCTGTCCCCTCCAAATCTCATGTCGAAATTGATCCTCAATATTGGAGGTGGAGCCCGATGGGAGTTGTTTCGTTATGCCATTCATGAATGGCTTGGTGTCCTCCTCACCAAATAATGGGTGAGTTCTGGTTGTTCACACAAGATCCAATTGTTAAAAAGAGCCTGGTACCTCCTCTCATCACTCTTGCACCTTCTGTCACCATGTGACACACCTATTCCCCCTTTACCTTCCACTGTCAGTAAAAGCTTCCTGAAGCCTCACCAGAAGCTGAGCAGATGCTGGTGAATACTTGTACAGTCTGCAAAACTGTGAGCCACCTAAACATCTTTTCTTTGTAAATTCCCAGTCTCGGGTATTCATTTATAACAATGCAAAACTGACCAACATAGTTGCTCTCTGACTGCTGCTCTGATCCCCTGAAATGACTGGCACCTTCTATCCCATAGTGACACAAAGATTTCAGAGGATTCATAAAGGAGAGTTTGTGGGCCCCTGGCCCTCAGAAGCTTTGAAGCCTAACCCCCACAGCAGGCAGGACATCAGGGTCCCTTGGGTGACTGCTGAGGCACATGAAGGAAGTCACAGCAGTAGTTCTGATGTCCATGCCTGGCCAGCAGACAAGCCCTGATTGGATCATGAGGAGGTACATGGGTGATGAGATTAGAGGTTGAATTGTCAGAGAAGGCTTATGCGAAGGCCATCTCTGGGTGATACAGGGAACCTGGTGCTCATGTCCTTTTATTATGGCAGGGTCCTTTTCTGACTTGGGCTTATTTTCCTCCCTCAAGACTTAGTGAGGACTGGTGTTTATAGATCATTCATTCCCCAACCCTCTTGGGAACAAAGATCATGTGGTTCTTCCCAAGATGATCTCCAGGTGCCCAAGAGACAACAGGACTACATTTTTTTCCCCAACAAATTAAGAGGTCACGAAGGAGTGAATCACATGTCCTTGAAAGTTCTATGAGGCTGGGGTCCAGTCTAGAATGCTGGGGGAGGCCAGGTATAGATTTTTAAAGGTAGTATATCTTCTTCTTCACACTTCATAGTGACATGTACCCATCCCAGTTCAGGGACTGGAACCTTAACAGCAGCTTTAACCATGCAAGCTCCTTCTTCTCCAACTGATGCCGAAAGTCAACAATGACCATCTTATAAAAATGGAAAAAAAGTATTAAGGGACTACAGGGGGAAAATCAGGCCAACACTTTTATCTTGAATCTTCACCATATTAACTCAAGGTAAATTGGAAACACATTAGCATACGAAGGGATTTGTTCTAAACCAGCGCCAGTCTAGATGATGCACATGATTCAAAGAACTCAAAATTATATTACTGCTACTTAACCAGATTTTCCCTGATCTTAAGCTACCTCTGGTTCAAGACACAGGAGAGTCACAAGGTGTTGCTGGTGCTAAGCT